TTTTCCCTTGGAAAAAACGCTCGCAGTGCACGCCGATTGCCCCCTCGGAGGCATCGCGTGTGTGCTCTTCACCCAAACAAATAACGCATAGATCGTGTGTGTCATCAGATGTTAAACAACGTCAACACGGATGCAAACATCCTTAAATGCTTTGCTAGTGCTTGCAATAATGAGATAAATAGAGATCGCTCTTACCACGGAAATGCACGCTTCAAACAAAACAGTCAATGAAGACGAAGAAGTGAATGATGTATGCTCCCGGCGCCTATTTATACTATAGTCGCACCGGTAGTGACGTCATGGCTGTCGCCGGCCAACGAGTTGGTGTTTTTTCAATGTATGCTTCAGACACGGGTCGCTATGGGGTGGCGCCTCGTCGTGGACGCAGTTCGAAGCTAGAGGACGCAGTTCGAAGTTCCCATGAAAGGGAACAATGCTTTTTGCACAAGTGCAACTGTTTGGTAGCAAAAAATGACAGATGAGCAAAATGTTTCTGCTACATCAGTAATACATAATCTAGACCTGTATACAGTTTGATTTCCAATCCCTATGTATTAACCGTCCAGCCGAACAAACGAGCATACGGTACGGTTTTGCATTTTGTGTCTATGTATGCATCTTGATATTTTTGTATCATACACGTGAGCATGGTTCATTTTTGATTTGTTTACACTCGTATTAAAATTAGATGTCATAGGAGTCCTCTTTTGAGAAATATCAACTCTACTATAAGCCCTTTGTAGAATCAGTTTGCTGTTTGTGTGCCACCTACACTAGAATAATCACAATTGTGGAGCGAAGCTCGATTCGTTTCTTTTTTGAGTAGTTATTCTGGATGTTGGTCCTGAAAATCAACAGCTACACCCCAGAGATATCACCTAGCAATGTACTGTTTATTATTCACTGTAGGACACATGGATGTGGTAGCAATACAAACTGTGCGAATGTGGATCGCTTTGGTGCCAAACTATGAACCATTTTGCTCTCTACCATTGATTTAAATAGCTTATTTCAGCAAGCTTTCTGTTTTTACACCCAATGGAAATGCTTTATCCATTTCGTTTTTTTATGAAATGCAAAAAGAAAATTGGACACACTACTAATGTAATGTAGAATTACCAGTTCCATGTCAAGTGCAACCTTAAGTGAAATTAAAAGTAATTTTGTCTGCATTGTATTGAAATACTGTTGATCAATCATGATAAATGTGGTTGTTAAACCTTTGTTTTAATACGTGTAATCAGTACTATTAATGTCAAAATGCTATAATTTAATGCCGGAAATAAAGTCTCACTATAAACTGCCATCATCCCACAACAGGACTTTGCTAGAGATTTTCATAGAGCTAACCAGCACTTTTATTCTGTTCTCACTATTTCTTTGTTGGTTTGAGGGTTTTTTTTTTTAATGTAAGTGTATTATTTTCTGACATAAAGAAAAACAAGTTTTACAATATCAACTTGTTTCAAGGAGAGCTTGTTTAGGAAAATGAATGAATAATTATTTACTACAAACCTCATAATGAAAATGTGAACAATTTAGATTTTATTTCAGATCAAACAGTCTCAAGCTCTGCCAGTTTAGAGTCAGATTAAAATACACTTTTGTTGAACACTTTAATATTGTAGTAATGTTGTAACCGGGAAAAAAAAAAAACACAAATCATGTTTTAAGACTTAACATCTTTTGCACTTACTGGCAGTTGTGTGTGTGTGTGTGTGTGTGTGTGTGTGTGTGTTTTTTAATGACAACCTTTTCTCCGTTTGGTTGCTTACTGACATGCCTCCCACACTTAATCTTTTTCTTAATCGGAATTGTAATCTTGTTTTCAGGTAAAAAAAAAAAAGATGCACTTATTTGAGAAGAAAATGTAAGATATGAAGACTTGTTTCTGGAGAATATATCTTGATTTTTAACCCTTTTTTCCTCATATAAACCTGAATGGAGATATTTATGCTTAAAACAAGGGAAAAAATTTGTTTTAAATAGAGTTTTATTACATTATGCAATTTTGTTTCTCAAGTAAATTTATGTTTTGTTTTGTTTTTTTAATGTGAAATCTGATCTTGTTTGTTTAGTACAATAATTGTAACTGAGCTTTATTGCTAATTGTATCTTCCAAACCTGATCTAAATTGTTCAAAGGTTTTATATTGTATAATTTCACTTAAGCGGCAGTTGATTGTTTGGGCTTGCACAGAAAAATATTTGTATGGATAAAGCATTATTAAAGTCTGAATTTGTTCGTCCCCGCAGGGTGATTTCCCATCATCGACGATATTTTGATTTCTTTTCTTACTTGACTGCACAAATATAATCAGATGTATAAATGGATAAATCTCACAAACTGAAAGTGTTTTAGCAACAAATACAACATTTGTGAAGAGCACATGTAAATAATAAATATTGTTACATACTTTATTGCCCATGTGGGAAACACTAAATCATTTACCATGCTTCTAATGCAGTAATGACAAGCTGCAAAGCAAAAAGATTGAAAGTAAGCTCTCAGCTGCTCAGCGTATCTATATATTTATTGAGTAGTGTACTAAAAGCGGGTAGGTTTGTGTGTGTGTGTGTGTGTGTGTTTTTTAATGACAACCTTTTCTCCGTTTGGTTGCTTACTGACATGCCTCCCACACTTAATCTTTTTCTTAATCGGAATTGTAATCTTGTTTTCAGGTAAAAAAAAAAAAGATGCACTTATTTGAGAAGAAAATGTAAGATATGAAGACTTGTTTCTGGAGAATATATCTTGATTTTTAACCCTTTTTTCCTCATATAAACCTGAATGGAGATATTTATGCTTAAAACAAGGGAAAAAATTTGTTTTAAATAGAGTTTTATTACATTATGCAATTTTGTTTCTCAAGTAAATTTATGTTTTGTTTTGTTTTTTTAATGTGAAATCTGATCTTGTTTGTTTAGTACAATAATTGTAACTGAGCTTTATTGCTAATTGTATCTTCCAAACCTGATCTAAATTGTTCAAAGGTTTTATATTGTATAATTTCACTTAAGCGGCAGTTGATTGTTTGGGCTTGCACAGAAAAATATTTGTATGGATAAAGCATTATTAAAGTCTGAATTTGTTCGTCCCCGCAGGGTGATTTCCCATCATCGACGATATTTTGATTTCTTTTCTTACTTGACTGCACAAATATAATCAGATGTATAAATGGATAAATCTCACAAACTGAAAGTGTTTTAGCAACAAATACAACATTTGTGAAGAGCACATGTAAATAATAAATATTGTTACATACTTTATTGCCCATGTGGGAAACACTAAATCATTTACCATGCTTCTAATGCA